TCATCATATCCATGCTTCTGACCTGTGCACTTACGGTCCCTTATAAATTGTCCTCAGTGCTCTGGTAATCCTGATTCTCATTACTTCTCAGCAAAGAACCAGTAAAGTTTACTTATACCACACTTTTTATCTCCAAAGCCATTTCATAAACATTATCTTATTTGATTTTACACAACCCTTTAAATGGAGCGTTTTGCTAAAGGAAGAAACTCAGAAACAAAATGACCAAAGATCACAGAGTGGCAGAGATGGAATTAAAACACAGATTTTTCAGTTCCAAGACCACCACTCTCTGCATTACCGTCAAACCAGTCTCTCCAAAACACTGTGGCCCCACCTCTATGACTTTGATTTCTAGCTAGGATGTTCTCTCCTCTAGCAAAATCTTACCAATTCTCCAAGATGTTCATTTCAATGAAGCCTTAAGCAACCATTCTACTATAAATAAACCTCTCAGTTTAAGTTTCCCAACCTTTATAAGGTGCGCTTTTCCTTCTGTCCCCTAATCCCATGGGCTGCTTCTTAAATCTTTGACCTGGACACGTGTTATTTCTCTATCTGGAATCTAAAGTTCTAGGAGAAAGAAATGGTTTTAGGCATCGCTTCTGAATTGCCTAAAGCATCTAATATAGTGTTAGTACATATAAAAATACTTCCCAAGAAATACTGCTTGCACTGAAACAGAAAAAGAGCATAGTACCTGAGATATAAAAGACGATTATAAGGTGCATAGGTAGGTACACCTAAGAATGAAGCAAACAGGTTCCGATGAAAAACAAAAAGGTAAAGAATTTAGAAGTCTCCAGTAGTGAAGACAGCATTAGCAAATCTGGTTTGAGGACTGCGGTAGCCCAGACACAAAGAAAAACTTGACAACTGTAACTACTTCGGTGAGAGGACACTTCAAAGCTTTGGAAAGCGTTACAATAAATCATTAGCCGCTATAAAGGCATTCAAATAAACCTAGAAAAAAGAGTGGCAAGTACCATCAGCTATAAAACATCAATAAATCTATTAAGTTTTTCAAGAGAGTTCATATGAGAGTCAGCTTCTCAACCAAATTACTCTTTACAGGACTCCACACAAAATTTAAATCAAAGCTGGTCTTGCCGGTTCGCATACTAATACAGTCCCTTCCCCTCCCAGTCCTCCCATGCCTGCCCTATTCCATTAAAAATGGAAGCGTTTGTAAAACTTTGTCCGCAGATCTTAAATATGGCTTTCAAGTTTGGCGTATATCCGACCTACCCTAGGGTCACTGAATCGTTGAGATGACAAATCCTGCTTTTCCTACTAACCACCACACGGACGCGGCAGCAAACCCAACCCCACCTGTAGGGTGCTCCTGGCCGCGCGGCGCCCGCCACACCTCCCCTTCCCTTCTAACTGCTCGGCACCCACTGGGGAGCTTTCGGGTCCGGGGTCGATCGGGGCGCCAGCACCGACAACTCATTGGCCAGCTCCTGGAACTGACAGGACATGAAGCCAATGAGAACGCGGTACCGGGCCGAGGCCGGGTAACGTGCTTAAGGAAGAGGACCCTTCGAGAAGAGAACCAGGTCAAGGCAGGAAATTCGGGCTCTCAAAACGCAGGAAGTTATGCGAGCGGTGACTCCGAGTCAGTGGGAACAGAACTCACCCACGGCGACAGCGCCCATAACTGCATCCCCTAATGAGCCTGTGGGCTGGGCAGCCAGCTCTGTCTTCCTCCCGGTGACGGATAGAGAGCGACAGAGCTCAAGCCAGACTGACCCCTAGAAAGCAACAACTTCCGGTACGTGGCATTATGGGAGGTGGCTTAGTCCCAGGAGCCTGCGGCGCTGACGCTGTTGCATTGGCGCTTGCGCGCAATTCCTTCCGGAAGTTCAGGTACAGCCACCTGGAAGAAACTGGCTGGCTGTTTTCCTTACTCTCGTGTAATTATGGAGTTGTTTAAATGCTTTGGAAGCATGAGTACCTGGTGGTGGTCAGAGTATTGGAGTCTCCTTGATGGGTTACCTTATTCACGTTACATCTGAAGGCAGGCTAGGAGGGTAACATTTACATTTCACGCAGTTCCCCTTATTCTGCCCAATCGCCTTCTAAATGCTCAGTAATTGTCTTGAATTAACCTTCCCAACGGAAGGTAAAATTTTCAAACATTTGCTACGTGTTCGTTAAAAATACATAAGTGCCGCACCTCCTGTGCAGTGAATTAAATGAACACAGTCTCGCTACCCTGGGGTGTAGTCTTTTACAGAAGACACAACAATCGCTTGGGGGGAAAAAAATGAAAGCGCCAGTAGAAAAATAGGCAAGGGATATGAACAGGTAATTCACAATAAAAGGACAAGTTGCCATAAGAGACAGGAAGAAATGTTCATCTTATTAGTAATCAGATAAAAGTAGATTAAGAAAGTGGCATCCTGACCTATCAAATTGGCCAGAGTAACAAGAGTTGCATTTGACTCTTCTGCTCTTTATCGCTGATAGAATTTTTTAACTTTCTTCACTCAGCACACAGGCTTTTTTCTTCTATTCTAAAACGCAGTCTTAGGGACATTGTACCACTCGCTTCCTCTGCCTAGAATGCTGCTCCCATTATCTTCTGTAGTTGCTATTTTATTGTAATTCTGTTTACAACTTAAAAGTCCCTTTCTCATAGAGAAATTGGGCAATCTAGGTTATAGAACCACCTGATCAATCCCATCACTTTATTTTATGTCACTACCCAGCAATTACCACTATCTAGTATTTTTCTTTCAAATTTACCTATATATTTCTCCCCCCCTACACACACACACAAACACTCATACATACACAGAAACATACAAATGAAAATGGGACATCTCATTTATCTTGGTTATGGCTATCTCTAGTACTCAGAAGTACTCAGAAGTATCTGGAAACATAGTAAATGCTTACTACATACTTATTAAAGAACAGTCATTAGAAATGAAAAATTTTGCAAGAGTGTTCATAGTAGCCTTACTCATAATAGCCAGAAACTAGAAACAGCCCACATTTTTAACAAAACAACAGGAAAACTGTGGTATACTCATAAAATGGGATTCTAAGCAATAAAAAGAAACTGTAAGGCATAAGAACAGGGATGAATCTGTAAAATATTATAGGGGCGCCGGGGTGGCTCAGTGGGTTAAAGCCTCTGCCTTCGGCTTAGGTCATGACCCCAGGGTCCTGGGATAGAGCCCCGCATTGGGCTCTCTGCTCAGCAGGGAGCCTGCTTCCCCCTCTCTCTGCCTACCTGTGATCTCTGTCAAATAAACAAAATCTTAAAAAAAATAAAATAAAATACTATAGTGGAAGAAGACTTACGCAGAAGTACGTACTATGTAATTCCATGGATATGAACAGGCACAACTAATTATGGCAGGCAAAAATCAAAAGTGGTTGCCTCTTGGGGATTTGGGTGGGGACTGACTGAGAAGGAGCATGAAGGAACTTCTAGGATGCTAGTAATGTTCTATATCTGAATAGGATTTAAGCTACACAGGTGTATGCATTTGTCAAAACTCAGCAAATATACATTAAAGATGTACATTTCATTTTTACCTCTAAATTAAAAATCAAACATTTGAATCTTAATGCTATGCAGGCTGAAGTACTTAGGGAGAAGTATGCCAATGTGTGCAATTGCTTTGAAATGCATCAAAACAGATGGACTGATGAATGGATTAAATATAAAACAAAAATGGTAGAATAAAAGGTTACTATAGTGTCTACAATCATGACAACATCATGATTGTAGAACCTTAACCTTAGAACTATGGACAGTTTAAACCAGCAAATTGTTGTAGGGGGATATCTTCAGCATTATAGAAAGTTAAGCAGCTTCCCTGGACCCTATCCATTAGATGCCAGAAGCACCCTTCCCGTTGTGACAATTCAAAATGTCTTCAGACATTACCAAATGTCCCCTGAGGAGCAAAATCACCCCCTTCTTTCTTTCCTCCCTTGAGAGTCACTTCATTACTTTACTGTAAAATTCTCTCAACTTTACTGCATGCTTGAAATGTCTCATAAAAATTGGAAAAAAGGGGCGCTTGGGTGGCTCAGTTGGTTAAGGGTCTGCCTTCAGCTAGGGTCATGATCCCAGGGTCTTGAGCTTGAGTCCCATATCCAGCTCCCTGCTTGGCGGGAAGCCTGCTTCTCCCTCTGCCTGCCACTCCCCCACCTTGTGCTCTCTTTTTCTCTCTCAAATAAATAAATAAAATCTGTTTTTAAAGCTGGAGAAAAAATAGACTAATAACATTGAAAATGTCCACAAAACAGCAACTCAAAGATGCAGCTATGAAAATGTATGTACTAATCTTATTTTCATAAAAAAGTTGTGCAAGTTACTGATACCTTATACCAATAAATATATTCACAAAAAAAATCTTGAGATTTTAAAAAATGAATATGTAACATAAAGAAAAAGTGCATTCCCTATATTTAGTTTGTGAAGAAAAAAAAATCTATATTACTTTCATGGTGAATTCGCCTTCAAACTGTCCTTTTATTATCAGAGACATATTTCTATGCAATAACACAGTATTTCCTAAAGTCACCACGACCACCATCCAGGCTCACCTCTCCCTAACGCCTTGCTATTTAGGGGCCAGAAAAATCCCTGTTGTGTGGGAAGATAGCAGAAACGCAGAATAGGGAACCCCACTCTTACATACTTAATCCCAAGCTACATAAAACCGAACGATTCCTACCCGTGTTTGTATTTGAGGAGCATTACTTTAATGGACCATTCCTTGACCCAGGAACCAGTGCCGTCTGATACTTCTCCATGGCAGTGGCAGCAGCTGAGAAATGCCAATAGAGTGGAATTTGAACTCTGCGACTGAGAGGCACATAGCATTGCCAAGAATTCCAGCCGCCGAGCACCTGCCAGGACCAAACAGCCGGGACCAATGGGCTTCCGGGGCATAGGGCCCCGCGCGCGCATGCGCCAAGCTGAGAGGGCGTTGTCTCTCTTCCCTTGGGCCGCGTAGGCTTCGGATTGCCTAGCAGAGGAACGCTGAGGCTCCCGCTGGATGAGACCTGGGCTGTCCGTGCAGCCAGAAAATCCAGAGTTTCGCACTGAGGGGGTCCATGGCCCAGGTGAGTCTTCAGTCTACCGCTGCCCAGCCGAACCGAGGATTTCCCGCGTGGCCGAGGCCCGTGGCCCCCTCCGGGAGCTCGGCGATCTCGTGGCCCCGCCTTCCCCACGCGCTGCACTGCTCATTGGATAGAGCCGGCTCCGGCTGCTCCTGACCCCGCCCGCAGTCGCGACCTTCCCTTCCCGCACTCACTACCACCCCCAGGCCCACTCAGTTGTTAGAGGCGATGGCGCCTGTGCGCAAGGTTTTGGCAGTGGGTCTGCGACTTGCCCGGTGTCAGGGCTTGTGCCGCCTGTAGCCGCTGTGCTCTGTAAAGTAAGAATCTGCAAGGAAAAAAGAATGATTCCACTTAGGAAACTCAGTTTTCATTCTACATTCGTACAGCTTCCACTGAAATCTTGAGTCCGAAGATTCTCTTCGAGGGTTTTTGTTTTGTTTTGTTTTTTTGTTTTTGCATTGAAATCTTTTCTACGAAAAAAGTTGGACAAGTAAATTATACACCTGTAGCATCGTTCCCATAGTTGTTCGCACACAGGTTGCTTGGCCCCAGACTTGTTTGCTGGCACTATTTTATCTAACAGACCAACAAATTCAGTGGGACTTTCTCCCAGCTTCACTCACTCAGTAAGTGACAAAACAAACATGCCTTTAAATATATGTTGGTTACTCCCAAAATTACATCTCCAGCCATATACCTCATAAATGCATAATTGTACATCCAACTGCCTACTGAACATCTCTATTGAGTAGATAGATGTCTTAATAACACTTCATTACGTAGTATTTCTAAAATCAGGCTTCAAGTGTCTTAATGCCTTGGATTCATTCTTACGTATCACATATAATATGCCAGTAAATCCTGTTGGTTCTACTCTTTCTGTATGTCCAGAACTTGAATGTTGCTCACCACCTGGACTACCACATCCTAATCCAAGCCACTGTTTTCTCTTTACAAGTCATTGTAGTGCCTCCCTGGTCTCCCACCTTTCATCCTCATTCCCCTGCACATTTCACAGCATCAGATGTGGGCCTCTCCATAAGTAAGTCAAACCGCTGGATGAGACCAGTAAGTCTCATCCAGAGACTTACTGGTCTCATAAGTAAGTCAAGTCTCTGGATGCTGGATGAGACTTACTGGTAAGTAAGACCATTGCGGTGGTCTTCCATATCAGACAGAATAAAATCCAAAGTCCTGGCCTTGCCCTCTGAGTCCTAACTTAAACTGCCCCACATTTCCTTTCTAACCTTGCCTCCTAAAATTTTCCCCCATGCTTAGTCAGCTCCAGCACCTGGTCTAGCACTTCCCTGCCACAAGGCCTTTGAACTTGCTGTTCTTCTTGCCTGGAAAAGGCATTTTATGTGTGTGATTTTTGAGATTTTTTTTTTATGATTTTTGATCATTGTTAGAGTCTTAGTGTGAAGGACAATGCTTGATACACAGTAGGTGCTCAAGACACATTTGTGGATGAATATAACAACAGCAACCACTTTTACAGTACTCTGTGGCCAAGCACTGTTTAAAGCATCTTCCACACACCATCATTTAGTCCTCACAGCGACCCTATCCTCCCCGTTTTAAAGATGGGGAGACTGAGGCACAGAGAAATTAAGCCACCTGCCTAAGGTCACACAGTTGTTAAGTGCACGTTGGCAGTCTAAGTAGCAGAGTACATACTTAAGCCACTAGGTTAAAAATACAAAATAAATTCACCTCCTCTAATAACCATCTAGCCATCTAATAACCTCTAATAACTAGCCTCAACTTTAAAAGACTAGAAAAGATATTCATGGAACTCCAATGAGTTCAGGGATTTTGAATACTTACATGGATTTTTTTTTAAAGATTTCATTTATTTATTTGAGAGAAAGAGACAGCGAGAGAGAGCATGAGAGGGGAGAAGGTCAGAGGAAGAAGCAGACTCCCTGTGGAGCTGGTAGCCTGATGTGGGACTTGATTCCGGAACTCTGGGATCATGACCTGAGCCAAAGGCAGTTGCTTAACCAACTGAGCCACCCAGGCACCCCAAATTTTTTTTAATAACAGAGCAAATATATGTTAGGATGTCAAATGAAAATAGGATATAAAATTACATGAAGTGAGTGGTTAGTAAAGAAAACATTGTGTTTAAGGAAGGGAAAAGTGTTTGCAGCTCTAACAGTTTTTGAAAAACTGTTAGATGGTAGCATTGGTAATATTTAAACTATTTATATTAGGATGGCTAGATGACAAAGCAGGGATTCCTGATCTGTTCTGTGTAGAAGAGAGCTAATCTTCAGTTGGGGTGGGGGGAAAATCTGGGGTCAAATAGGTTTGGGATACTCAGCATACTAAAACTTCCTAGAAATTCACAGTCTCTTTCGGTATGTAACAATAAAGACTTTGAGAAGCCACATGCTAAAAGTGTCCCCATACAATTTACTCTCCAGATGGGGTTATTTTTGTTTAAGATAAATACTAGTCGGGACAAAGGGATGGCCAACTGTCACCCGGAAGAAACCTGTTAAACTTTGTGTCATTCAACATTTCAAGAACTTATTTAGGCACAAAAATGCTGTGTAATTTTTTTTCCCCAGCATGGCACTGATGCCTTGATAAACAATATTTTAATGACTTCAGTTGAAAAAGCACTGGGATTGGGAATGATGTGTTGGCATTGATTTATACTCTGCTCTGTGGAGACAGCCAATGCATGCAAGAGTGCTTCCTATTTTCCTGATTGCTTATCTAGTTAATTGTAATGAACTCAACACCCCACCACATTTAGTCATTCTCATAGTCCTTAATGTGTTCTTTTTTAAAAATTATTTGTAATTAATTTTTTAATTTTTTATAATCATATAATATATTTTTATCCCCAGGGGTACAGGTTTGTGAATCGCCAGGTTTACACATTTCACAGCACTCACCATAGCACATACCCTCCCCAATGTCCATAACCCCACCACCCTCTCGGGACCCCCTCCCCCCAGCAACTCTCAGTTTGTTTTGTGAGATTAAGAGTCTCTTATGGTTTGTCTCCCTCCTGATCCCATCTCCTTAATGTGTTCTTGATAGGACCTAATACAGTTATTGATCTGTCACTTGTGACTAACATACATTTCCATTTAAGTAGAATTGTTATTCTTTAAAACTACCATACAGTGAACTTGCTAAATTGTTGACCAAATACCATTTTCTAATATTAAAGAAATTATCCAACTATATTTGGATGGAGTAAAGAAGATGTAATAAAGGGAGGACATGTTCTCAGAAGGCTTGATAATGAATCATCCAAGGCAGCCTTTGTGAACTGGGTCCACTCTAAATATGTTGGCATTTTGGGCTACCAGTCTGTGAAACTAACAGCCAGATCATGATCTGGGATAAATTCACTCCACTAAGTGGCTGTCAGGGTCTTCAGCTAGTTTGCCTTCAACTGAGGGAAACCTAACACACCCCAACTCCTCTCAGACTGCAACATTCTTACCCAATCACGGATTATGAGAACATATTCCTAATAAATAGTTGGTGCTCTCTTACATGTCTTTGTAGACCTCTGTTAGACACTGCATACAATATGTGTAATGACAATATGGAGCATGAGTTGATGGAGGTAGTGTCCAGGTAAGAGGAGTCAAGGTTCTAGAAGGAAATAGATATGCACTCAACTCTGAAATTTTGAAGAGATTGCATAATGAAGGGACTGTTTACAGAGGTGCATTATTGCCCCTAGGCCTGGAAGATTTGCTGGAGCTAAGGAAGAAGGGCTGCCCACAAAAGCTATGGTCTTAAGGAGTCATGACCATTGTCAGAATCCCACTTAAACAGGAAAGATGTAGTGAAGAAATACCCTGGCTTCTTTCTCCTCCCAGCCTCCCCTTTCCTGCCAGAGCATTAGCTGAAACTAACCACAAGAAAAAAGAGTGGGGTGGTATAGGCTGCAGCCGTCAGATTTTTAGAGTCTAGAGCAAGGAAAAGAAGGACCAAAAATGTGTTTCAGGGACAAATAAGTAGCAGAAAAGAAAATGGTCCAAATAAGGAGCCCCTGAATTAGGCCTTTGTAGTCAGGGTTGTGAGGAAGGGACAGGTTCAGGTCTACACTATTTTTCATGTGCTTTCCTGCCTTACAGACCTTTCTTCTCTCCCCACTATGCTTCCTTCTCCACTTGTCTAAGTCTTAGCCTATATTTAGGGCTCAACTCAGGGTCACCTGGCTGGCTCAATCGGAAAAGCATTAACTGTTGACCTTAGGGTCATGAGTTTCAGACCCACAGTGGGTGTAGAGATTACTTAAATAAAATTTAAAAAAAAAAATTCTGAAGAAAGATTCAACTCAGATCCTGTCTCCTTCCTTAACCCTTTCCTGATAGCCCATTTCATTGACATGTACTCTTCTTAATCCCCACAATAATGCCTATACTAGTCATTTAACACTAGCCATTTAACACATTTAGCCTTTATATGCACTGTTCTGTATCTTACTAGGTAATAAATCCTGATCCTCAAACTAATTAGAGAGCTCTGCGAAGGAATGAAGCATGAAGCTCTACATACAGTATTTACTCAATAAACATTTACCCAAAGCTGAGAAGGAATTCCATGAAGACACCATTAACCAAGATAATAGTGTTTGATTTCACAGAGTAAATTCTCTTTGAGAAGGTAAGACGTGTTTCCTTTGGAGCAATGGGACTGAGCTGTTTTTCTTTTCAGATGTGTAACTCCTTTTTTTTTCTAAATTCAGAAACACTACATAGTAATCCTAAAACTTCAAACAATAAAGAAGCATATAAATTAGTCAGTCCTTCCTTTCTTCCTTCTACCCACATTTAACAAACTAATTTGGTGAATTCTCTTTCTGACTTTTTTCATGTGTGTATAATGATATAACAATGAATAATATGATCATACCTATTTATATTCTTTTACAATCTACTTTTTTAAGGTAACTATTGTATCATGAATATCAGTGTCAATATGTATTTTTTAATGATCTCATAATATTCTGTTTAGATATATATTTATTTAACTAACCTATTGTTGAACATTTAGGTCATTGTCTGATTTTTTTTGTAGATAATAAGCAATGAACATCCTTATAAACACCTTTTTTATATACTGTCTGATTTTTTTCCTTAGATCAGTTTCACAGACTTAGATCAGCTTTCCTTATACCAAGTTTTTCTTCTATAACAATTATTAGATGTTAACCATCTTTGTGTGTATATGTGTGTGTATCTGTGTGTGTGTATGTGTGTGTTTGCACTTGCATACTAATTTAGTAAGTTAAAAATATTGTGTGGGAGGGACCTCCACTTTTGGAACAGAGTAGATGTATTTTTCCTAATTTGTCCAGCTAAATACAACTAAGGATCCTGGACACTATAAAACAAACACAAAAGACTCTGAAAAGTGAAGAGGAAAGCAGAAAAACCAGGGGACCTTGGGAGCCAAGGAAGGACACAATGGTGACTTCCTTGGTTATTCTTTTTTTTTTTTTTTTAAAGATTTTATTTATTTATTTGACAGACAGAGATCACAAGTAGGCAGAGAGGCAGGCAGAGAGAGGAGGAAGCAGGCTCTCTGCTGAGCAGAGAGCCTGATGCAGCAGAGAGCCTGATGCGGGGCTCAATCCCAGGACCCTGGGATCATGACCCGAGCCGAAGGCAGAGGCTTTAACCCACTGAGCCACCCAGGCGCCCCTCCTTGGTTATTCTTTTTTGCCTCAAATACCTGAGACTTGATTAAAGAAGCTGCAACCGAGAAATATCAAGGGTACAGACCAAACAAATTGTAAAGCCTTAAAAAACCCTGCTCTCTCTAGCTAAAGTACCAAGAAATGTGCAGCTGAGCAAGATGGAAAGCACTTCGATAATAAACGTGCTACATCGGGTAAATACCAAAGAAAACACTGTGGCCTCTTCCCTACCACACCAGCAAAGTGCGCCTAGATTCTACTTTCACTAAGCTGTAATAACCACTTCAGTGCCCACTCCTTATCAGGATGGTATAAAAAAAAAAAATGTGATTAGGGATCTAGGACTTTCCTCTCTGCTGGGAGAGAATGAGGACCTTACCAGGGTTTAGTGTCAGACCCATGTCAGATCCATGTCAGACCACTTGGGGAGCCTGTACTTCCCCTCTGATGCAGCAGTAACAAGGCATCCCACCTTCACCCTTCTGGAGTGATGTCCAAGAAGTCTAGTGGGGAGTCCAACTTTCACCAACACCTAACATTAACAAAGTGGTTACTGGAGACCGCATGGGTAACAATAAGGAGGCACTTTCACCCCTCCCAGGCAGAAGCTCCCCTTTTTCTCCCTTCTGAAGCAGGGTTTCAGAAGAAGTATGCTAAAATGGAAGATTTGAGTATTTTTCAGAGTCTTATAATACCTAAAATGTCCAGATTAAATAAATTTAAAAAAATCATCATACCAAAAAGAAAGAAGGTCTCAAACTAAATGAAAAAGACAATAAAATAGATGCCAATGCCAGGATGACAGAGATGGCAGGATTATCTGACAAAAGATATTATTTTATTTTATTTTTTTAAAGTAATTGCTACAGCCAATGTGGGGCTTGAACTCGTGACCCTGAGATCAGGAATTGCATGCTCTTCTTACTGAGCCAGCCAGGTGCCCCTGACAAAGATTTTAAAACATGTATCATAGGGGCGTCTGGGTGGCTTAGTGGGTTATAAATAAAACTTAGGGTGCCTGGGTGGCTTAGTGGGTTAAGCCTCTGCATTCAACTCAGGTCATGATCTCAGGGTCCTGGGATCGAGCTCTGCATCGAGCTCTCTGCTCAGCAGGGAGCCTGCTTCCCCTGCCCCCCTGCCTACTTGTGATCTCTATCTGTCAAATAAATAAATAAAATCTTTAGAATAAAAAAGTAAATAAAACTTTAAAAAAACCTATCTTAAAAAATTTTCAGTGAGCTTCTATTAAGAACTTCTATTAAATAAATGTTCATAATATCAAATGTGTGTAAATAACCCAGGTGCCCATCAGAAGGCAAAGAATGCAATAAATTATGACCTATTGACATGATTCAGTATGACAGTCAACCACTAGAAAGAATGAAATAAATCACTATGTACTGACAATGAATAGTTCTTTGATATATATTTGGAAGGGAAGAAGTAGGGAAAAAAGATATGTTTATATGATCCCTGCAGATACATTTTGATTATATACCTCACTCTTTATATATACATAAACATTATACCACCACATATTTTCCATTTATGTATGTGTATAATGGCTAAAATATTTTGTGTTACTGTAATACCAAAACCCTTCAACTTGGATGGGAGACTTAGGAAGGTAGGGGAAGAGATCACCAGCTGAAACTATATCTTCATTTTTTAACCTTCTACCACTTGAATTTTACAACCTAGTACTTTTCTTTTAATGTTACCAGCGGTTACTTGAGCTGTGGGATTGTTAACATATTTTTTCTTCTTCACATTCTTCTGCTTTTTAAAAACAGGGATTGTTAACATATTTTTTCTTCTTCACATTCTTCTGCTTTTTAAAAACAAATAAACACTAATATTAAGAGAAAAATATTAGCCATCCACAAAATTCTCTTGTTTATTCTGTTCATTCTAGGTTTCCAAAGTAACCAGTCATAGCCTCTCTCCTGGCTATATCACTGATACGGCTTTTGACTACATAATTAGTTTACTCCAGTGAAATTGTTCATTGTGGTAGCTCAAGATTCCAGGTCAACTATCCAGATACAGAGGAATTTGATGCCTGGTTATTATTATAGTTTTATGACTTTCACTGGATTGGCCCACAGTTTGGATCCTTAGTATATTAACATTCGTTTAAATTTCACGTTTTATGAAGAAATCAAACACACTTTCAATAAAGACCTATATTGATCTATTGAGTTCTCCCTAGGTTCTATTTGTAAATTATCTCTCTTATCCTTACCTCCTTAGAAATTTATGGATATCCAAAAATGATTGAGATTGAACAGGCAGAGGCTCAGCTCTCTGAGTTAGACCTGCTAGCCAGTATGTTCCCTGGTGAGAACGAGCTCGTAGTGAATGACCAGCTGGCGTTAGCGGAACTGAAAGATTGTATTGAAAAGAGGACGATGGAGGGACGATCTTCGAAAGTTTACTTTACTATCAATGTGAAACTGGATGTATCTGAGGAAACAACGGTAATTCACTTTGCTTTTTGAAGAACTGAAAGCCTATCAAGACTTAAAACACCACATAGGGCGTTTTCTTCTTTTTCTCTTCTTTTTTTAAAATCAGGTGATGTTTTCTCTGGCCTGTATTCTTCCCTTTCAATACCCCGAAGTTCTGCCTGAAATTACTGTCAGGTATGTGACAGAAATTTGCCAACATCAATGTTAAAATTAACCTGAGAATAAAAGCAAGGTTTAAGTTTGTTCTCTGTTCCAAGAAAATTGACTTCATTTTTTATTCCTTATTTCTTCCATCAGATCAGTATCATTAAGTAGGTCCCAGCAGACTCAGCTGAACACAGATCTGACTGCATACCTGCAAAAGAATTGTCTTGGAGACGTCTGTATATTGAATGCCACAGAGTGGGTTAGAGAACATGCTTCTGGCTATATGAGCAGAGACCCCATGCCTTCCCCTGCTCCAGGAAGTACATTCCAACCAGTTGATCTCATTCTCACAAGACTGTGGATCTATAGCCATCACATCTACAACAAGTGTAAAAGAAAGAATATTCTAGAGTGGGCAAAGGAGCTTTCACTATCTGGATTTAGCATGCCTGGGAAACCTGGTGTTGTTTGTGTGGAAGGTCCACAAAGTGCCTGTGAAGAATTCTGGTCAAGGTTTGCTTTCACAAATGTTGTATGCTGTGTCAGTAATTTTAAGTAAACAAGATACTAGAGATGTGGCAATTAATATGTCCCTCGTATTGTACCTTATGAGGGATCCAGTCTCAAGTCAATGGATAAAATAGAACTCACATATAATCAGCATCACCCCCTTCCCTGACATGGTGCACACAGGAGATGTTCTGTAAATAGCTGTTTATTTGGGCCCTTGTCCAAGATGTTACGATCCCCTTCATTTCCATGGATTGGATTCTTCTTAGTGATGTGATAAGCTGTGCATACCTTGTGAAACAAAGGGGTTTCTCATCTTCTCATTTCTGTACTGACATCCTAAATGAGTTTCTAAGAAGTCCCTTTGGGAGTTTGAGATACAGCAGTTTTCACATTTGTAAAATGCTGATTTGAGTCAGTAGCAATGAATGAGTTTAGGGATAGGATCCTGACCAGCATCATATTTGATTAAAATTAATCCCTGTGAGATAAAAGTAAATGTCTTTACTTCTGGGAAAATGCATTGCTAAGTCTGTTTTATAACTTGTATTCTCAAAGCTCTAGAGGACAGAGCATATTTTCAGTGTGTCTACTTTGAAAATTTCTTTTCAGACTCAGAAAATTAAACTGGAAGAGAATTTTAATTCGCCATCGAGAAGACATTCCTTTTGATGGTACAAATGACAAAATAGAAAGACAAAGAAAATTTTCAAGTTTTGAAGAAAAAGTGTTCGGTGTTAATGGAGCCAGAGGAAACCACATGGACTTTGGTCAGCTGTATCAGTTTTTAAACGCCAAAGAATGTGCGGATGTTTTCCAGATGTTCTTTGGTGTGGAAGGACAGTGACTGGCAGAGGAATAATGAAAGTTTTTGTCACTGTTGGCCTTTTGATTTTTCCCCCAGTCTTTCTTGAAAGATGAAGTAATTTGGGGCATCCAGGTGGCTCAGTCATTAAGCATCTGACGTTGATTCAGGCCATGATCTCCAATTCCTGGGACCTGGCTTGCCACTCAGCAGGAAGCCTGCTTCTCTCTGCCCCTCCCCCCGCTTGTGTTCTCTCTCTCAATCTCTCTCTCAAATAAATAAAGTCTTTACTAAATAAATAAATTTTAAAAATAAAAATGGATTTAAGTATAAGATATCAAAAGAGAGAAGAGCAAGTTAGATGGTCCTGCCTGTACTATATACTTTGAAAAAGACAATAAAAGCTGTAAGAGGGGTACCTGAGTGCCTGAGTGGCTTAGTTGGTTCAGCATCCAACCCTTGGTTGTGGCTCAGGTCATGGTTTCATGGTAGTAGGATTGGGTCAGAGTTGGACTCTGAGCTCTGAAGGGAGTCTGCTTGGAATTTCCTCTCCCTCAAATAAATAAATCTTTAAAAAAAAGCTACAAGAAATTGTAGGTAAGGGTTCCTGGGTAGCTCAGTTGGTTAAGCATCTGCCTTCGGATCAGGTCATGACCCCAGGGTCCTGGGGTCAACCCCACATTAGGCTCCCTCCTCAGTGGGGAGTCTGCCTCTCCCTTTGCCTCTGCCCCCTTCTACTCCCCAGCATGTACTTTCTCCTCCCTCTCTCTCACTCTTGCAAATAAATATAATATTTTTTTAAAAAAAGAAAACTGTAAAAATAGTAAAAAATAAAAAAAAACTGTAGTTAAATGTTAGGACACATAGCTTTCTTAGATTATTAGGAGTGGTTACATATCTGATACGATTACATATTTGATATATAAACATTCCTATTGGGTAAAATTGACCAATCTGATTGCACGTACGATTTATTCCACAATGACAATCTGTCAGTGTCTTAATTTGATACATATCTTGAACAGGAATCATCTACAAAGAAATAATGATAAATACTGAAAACAAGCTATTAATCCCAAATCAAACTATGGTTAAAAGTTAAAAGGATTATTAGAAAACAAGAGTGTGGGCAGGAAACATTGGCCATATGTCCACTTCTATTTGTAAAAGTAATTCCTGTACAAACCTTTTTTTTTTTTTTTTTTTGAGAGAGAGAGAGAGAGAGAGCATGAGAGAAAGTATATGAGCAGAGGGAGGGGCAGAGGGAGAAGTAGAAGCAGAGTCTGCTGAGCACCAATGCAGAACTTAAAACTCATCCACTTGGACACATGAAAAGACAGGTTGAAATGAGGGTTCAAATGAAAGTAAAGGCGAAAGTACTCATCAAGTTTGCGCTGCAATTCAGAGTCTTGATGAGAAGATTCAGCCCCACGTTGGCTGCCAGAATGATGTGGTTTGGAGTGGTGGAGTTCAGAGCCCATGGTCAAGAGAGATTTCTTGAGACAACTTTGTGCGAAATGGTGGCTTTGTTAAAACACAGAGATAGGACCCCTGGGCAGAAAGAGCGGCACTGGGGTTGTGAGGAGTGACTCATTATATAAGATTTTTCTGTCCTATGGAGAGGACGTTGATGTTAGGACTCCAGGAAATTGAGTCTATAGGTTTCTGGAGGTTGCTTTTTTTTTTTTTTTTTGTAAATCATTAAGACAGTTGCAAACTGATGGAGACTCATGTCCTACATGACTGTGATCTCTTTCAGTTAACCACTTGTTTTTTCCTTTCCTTTGTTCTTAGGCAGCCAGGAGCTCCTGAGGAACGTCACACATATGGCCACCCCCCTCCACCCCCCCGGGGGGGGGTTGCAATTTTTGTGCAGCAGTCGTGTGCTTTGCCTTTAGCTTGCCTTTTGCTCCCTAATCAATGAGATTATAACCTTTTTGGGTTTTGTTTCGTTCTGTTTTTGTTTTTGTTTTGCAATCAACAAAGCTACTATGAGCAACCTTTACATCTTCCTGTTTGATTTCCAAAAGTAGAAATTCACTCTTAAACGCTCTGGATGTCTCTTGTCAAATTGCACTTATGAAGGGTTAAGAAATGCAAATTGCAATTCTTCTGAATATTCCTTTTCTCTAGATTTTCATCATCATTATTATTATTTTGTCATTTTTTTAGATGAAAAATCTACATTTTATGTTATCTTCATTTGACTTTAATGTGGGTCAATCATACATCCTTTGTGGTAAATGCCTATTTATGCTTTACTTATTTTTACTTAAATGGGCAGCCTTAAAATATTTATTTGTAAGCATTTTTTTTAATAGCAAGCATATTAGCCCCTAGTTAATGTTGCAGACTTTCCTATTTGTTTTTCCTGAAATAGAGGGAAAAAAAAAAACATTTTAATTTAATGTATTTAGATCCATCAATAGTTTTCTTTATGGTTTTCCTTTTTTGGAGTATCACCTGGGAAGGCTTTCTGTTGGTTAAAAACCTTAGGAGTTTTCCCAGCTATAATCTGAGAGGCCACACCTCCCCCATCCGCTGGGAGGGCAGGGAGAGAAGGAAGAGGCATACCACTCCAGGGTACTAGGTGGCATATGGTTTTTGTTTGTTTTGTTTCATTTTACAGGAACATCACTGGGGGGCAAATAAAGATGTCTTTGAAATAAGATGTTTTTTAGCCTTAGCTTTAAGCTGTTTTCTCTTAGAGTTGAAATATCCCCAGAGTCCTTGTTATTCCGTAGAAGGAAAATAAGAAATCCTTTTCTCCTAACATCTTATAAAGGTTCTTCTGGTCAGTCCAGTTTGCCGACTTAAGTCACTTACCCATCCATGGACCAAGCGGACTTCCCAACTTCTGTGTTTTGGACTGATTGGATGCTGTGTCCTGGAACTAAAAATGGTTTTCTCTCTCCTAGAATTATGAGTATAGATGTATACTTAAACAATATTTGTCCACTGAGTGGCAAAACTGAAGGGAGTCATCTTTGGTGGAAATTTATTTATTGTGCAACTTAAGAATACTCTAATCTTTTTGACTATTTGCCTTTTGATCTCAAAACTTGGATTTTTGTTGCTTCAGGGAGGTAGTCATATTTCCTTGTTGCCTTTTTAAGCCATGTTATGGTAATTTGAAATACATTTTCAACAACTTTCTGTTAAAGAATGATAATATATTTTTGGTAGAATAATAGAAAAAATATTTTTTTAAGGAATTTTTTTATTTTTTTAAAGGAATAATCAAGTGAGTACAAAAATAGAAGATGCCTGGGTGCCTGGGGGACTCAGCCAGTTAGGCATCTGCCTTCTGCTTGGGTCATGATCTCAGGGTCCTGGAGTCAAGCCCAGCATCAGGCTCCTTGCCCAGCGGGAAACCTGATTCTCTCTGCCTGCTTCTCCCCTGATTGTGCTCTCTCTCTGTCAAATAAATACATAAAATATTTTTTTTAAATTTACTTAGTATGATTTTTACTCTGTGTGTTGGCCATGAAAATAATGCAATGAGAGTAAATCCACTATTTCAGAGTTACAAAACATAAAACCAAAGACCAATAATCAAGAAAGTCCCCTATCTAAAATTTATTAATTGTATAATCAGAATGTTTAATAACTCTTACCCAGGTAAACAAATAATTGGGATATACAATATCAAAGTATTATATTCTTAACTTTTTAATGGTTTTTTTAGGCTTAATTTAGATACACACTGAGGGTTTTATCATCTTTTTAGATTTTAATAATTTTTTTTTCAAATATTCATCCCAACCTGTGTTGAACCTTTGGTATTATAAACAGTTTTATTTATTTTTTTTTTTAAGATTTTATTTATTTATTTGGCAGACAGAGATAAGAAGTAGGCAGAGAGGCAGGCAGGGAGAGAGGAGGAAGCAGGCTCCCTGCCAAGCAGAGAGCCCGATACGGGGCTCGATCCCAAGACACCAGGATCATGAGCTGAGCCGAAGGCAGAGGCTTTAACCCACTGAGCCACCCAGGCGCCCCTTATAAACAGTTTTAGAAGAAATGGAGCTTTCTCCCATTAGCCCATCTTACTTCCACACCAGGTTTTGTGACACACTAATTACCTTAAAGCTTGAGGCATTGACCGCTGGTAGGCAGCGGTTCGATAAACAAAGGGAACACACATAGAAGGCTTCCTTGGGTGGCAACAAGATGAATGAATCCCCACACCAGCCCACCAAATCTTAAAAGTTTATAAAAAGAAGTTTTAACTAGGTTCAGTTACATATTTGTATGTAACATCACATCATTATGTCACGCCTGGGTCCTTGGATCAGTCTCTAGGAGCAAGAATGGTAAATGGAACCCACATTTCAAGTGGGGGCAGATGGGTGGTGAGGAGGCCCCCACCTCAGTGCCTGGGTCCAGCACATGGTTCAACCAGCAGTTGTTTTTTTCTCTCTTTTTTTTAAAAGATTTTCTTTATTTATGATAGAGAGAGATAGGGAGAGAGGTAAGACAAGCACAGGCGAGCTGGAGAGGGAGAAGCAGGTTCCCCACTGAGCAGGGAACCCTGTATGGGGCTCCATCCCAGGACCCTGGGATCATGACCCAAGCCAAAGGCAGATGCTTAATGACTGAGTCACCCAGGCTCTCCAAACAGCTGTTCTTTCTTTTCCATGACCTTCCCCAACACTTTCCCTACTCCAGGATAATTGTAAAACATACCTACTTACATAACCTTGTAATTTCATTTCTTTTAAAAATCTTGTGAAAAGAGTACCTGGCTGGCTCAGTCATTAGAACATCTGGCTTGATCTCGGGGTTGTGAATTCAAGCCCCATGTTGGTGCAGTGATTACTTTTTTAAAAAATCTTGTGAAAATGACATGCAACATTCATCCTATTTATCTATGAATATTTACTTTGTACAAAAGGCAAAAAGAAAAAAAATGCACAGTCATAGTCTTACAACTCTGTTTAAGAAATAAAACTTTACCAGTGTAGTTGAACTCTGCTTCAGTGCTTTTCTTATTACAACAATCCTTGGTAGATTAACTCCTACCCAGAAAGTATTTATCACTCCCATAAATTTCTTTGTACTTTTATGACATATGTGTCTATCTCTTTGCAACATCTTATGGCTTCATTTTTTTATTAACATATAATGTATTATTTGTTTCAGGGGCACAGGTCTGTGAATCATCAGTCTTACACAGT